TTAGTTCATTTACATATGCAAAATATTAATAAGGAGGAGGTATACAAATGGGCAAACCATAACATTTATCTGTCTTGGGGGAATCAAGTTATCCAAATGGTAAGTTAAGCATGAAACAAGTATATAAATTCAATTTTTCACCAGCGTAAAATTCAAAATTTGTCACCTTAGTTATAAATAGTATCTAATGCATATGTTAAAAAAAAGGACAAAAAGCGCTGGACTTAAATTGAAGGGAATGGAAATGGGGATTGAAATGAGAAATAGGATTGGAAATGAATTGTAAATAATTCTAATTTTCTTTCACCGTATACCTCATTCTTCTCTTCACATTGATTTTCTTTCTCTGTACGTATTCAGTTAATTCCGTGGCTACTAAGCATAAACCCAATTTGCTCCAACCCCACAATCCTGACGCCTAACTTTTCTCCGAGCCTCCGTCACCGTCGAATCGATGCTGGGCACAGAATCGAGTCTCAGCAACAGATCCATCAACGCCTCGTCCATCTTCAACTTCTCCAGCTCGTTGCTCCGACCGACGTTCACCGTGTCTTGCCGTTGGACTTGCAGGTGGTCAGCCTCCGAGTCGACGGCAGCGTCTGATTGTGAGAGAAGAGAGAGGGAGATGACGGACGGAGGTCGGACGGCTAATGACCAGATCAACGATGGAAAGGAAGGAGACCGAAGGCGGAGACTAGCCGACTGAAGAAGGGGAATTTCCAGTACCACCCCTCCCTCCCATCTCCCTGGGATTCAAGTGCCAAGTAACAAGAATTCCATCCCCTACCAAACACTCTTCTCAGGGTATGCCTGGACTTTGAGGGGGGAAAGTAAAGTGGGAGAGCGGAGTTTAGCTTTGTTGGAAGGGAAAGGAAAGGAACGATTTTTCGATAACAGGGAGGAAAAGAACTTTTAATATATACTGTTTTATTATTATGTATGAGTTTATATTTTTTATTTATATGTTATATTTATGTACATTAATTTACGTGTTAATTTAAGTTGCATAATTTATTAAAATTCATTCTCATTTCAATTTTTTTTAATATGGGCATAAAAAACCTGTTGTAATGAATATTTTTATTTCTAATTAATATAATAATATATTTTAAAAATAGAATATCACAAAAATATGAGGACTAGTGAACAAATTTCATTTTTTATTTTTATTTTAAATTATCTTCCATATCTGAAGCAATTGATGACTTCTTATTTTTTCTCATGAACATTACTCGGCTTTTTTACTCATATACTCCTCCGGTCCTTATTATAAGACCCCATTTGACTTTTTATTTGGTCCTAATTATAAGACCCCAATCCATTTTGTCTCTTATATTTATGTATTTTTTTCCAAGATAATCCTTCTAATAATGATAGTTTTAGCCAATATACTTAATTAGCAAAGATATTTTTGGAATGACAACACTTATTTATTATAAATAACCAACTTAACTTACTTCCTTAATCTCCTCAAATAAGTCAATTGGGTCTTATAATTAGGACCGGAAGAGTACTATAAACAGTAAAAAAAAAGAACTCAAACACTATATCATGACAAATATTTATCTAAATACTATACTTAAACTCGTTCAAGGATGGAACGAGTTTGAATTTATGTAGAAGTCGTTCAGAGCGACTTCCATCATGTAGCTGATGTGACTTTTCTTTTTAAAAAAAAAAAGGAAAACAAACTCGTTCAATATGTGAATGAGTTCCTTTAATTATTTGCACCCCTCGTCTTGCATGAAGATTTACAGGTGAGAGCATGAATGGCCAAACAAAATGAATTTAGAAAGAAAGAGGTGGGGACTGGAACATACCAAGACCAATAATAAAACAAGCTATTTGAATACGGAGGTTGGTGTGGGGAAATATGTGTTTCATTAATTTTATTAATGAGCAAAATTTAAAAAAAAAAAACGATCCGTTTGGTATGGAGGATTTGGAAGAAAAGGAAAGGAACAGGAAGGATTTTAATCATTTTCTTTTATTTGGCAAGATAAAAAATTTTAGGAGGGAAGGAAAAATTTTTTAACATTTTCCCTCCACTTCCCTCATAAGCCTCCTCTCCAAAATTAAGGGAATTTGGAGGGAAAAGGTAATATTTTGGCTTGTATTAACTAATATGCCCATATTATTTTCTAATAATCTCATGTTACCCTTCACTACCGAATTGTGTGTGATTTGGTATATTTATGGGTTCAATTATGCCTCTCTTCCCAAATTTATATACTATCAAATATTAAAAAAAAAGTTACTATCAAATATATTTTAATTTTCAAACGCAAATCAAGCGTTCAAAATAAAAACATATAAATAAGTCATCTATGTCGTCTTTGAAAAAGTTATTTAACTACCCGTATCAACAAAACAGAAAAAATGAAAGTTGGAAAAAACATACTCAAATTAAACATATTTACTTAATTAGACCAGATTTTAGATATAAATACGATTATAGTTATTGGATATATAGTAGCTATTAATTATGTAATATCATTATATTTATTTAATTTTTCTAAGGGAAAATGAATCTTTTAATCCTCTAACCTTTAATTTATTTAAAATTTAGTTCTCCAACTATGACTCATTATAACTCAATTTCTAGATTTTTTGACGCGCTTGTGACTAGTCGCTCATCTTTCCGATGTGCATGTACAAAGTTTGTCCTTCTCCATTAATTTCTCATGCCATACAAGAGCCACATCATACCTTTTCATCTTTGTAAGCGCCACATCGTCTCCTCGCGTCTTCTCCTTCTCTGTTTGAATTTCCTTTTGGCTGAAGAAGGCTCGCATCATTTTGCATGCCTGTGGGTCATTCTCCATCGACTTCGTCTTCTCGATCGATGCGTTGTCCTCCATCTTCTTTCTCCTTGTGTTTGTATTCTCCATCTTCATTCTCCTCATGTTCGTCCGACTGATGCAAACGGGGAGGAGTGGATCTGAATATTCTTCTTTACTTCTTCAATGGAAATGATTCGTTCAAATTTCCTGAAGGTAAATTATCTACCAAAATATTCAAATTTAGAGAATCAAGAAACGCTCAACATTAGCGATAGCAAATTTTATGGTACCCTGCATGTTTCGTCTCGCCACTGGATCTCAAACTATGGAGGCACAATTATTTATGCATGGAATTTGTTTTATGACTTGAGCTGTGGCATGTACTAATGCTATTAATTTAGATGAGTTTTATTTCATATTAACTTCCTGTTCGGCAATCACTCCAAAAATTTCATTATTTGAAAAGAGCAATCCCAGTTCCTTGCTTCTTTTGATAGTATATGCAGAGACTTTGATATTTGAAAAGAGCAATCCCAGTTTCATTTTTGAAGCCCCACCTGGACTAGTGATGAAGTCTGGGCCTTGATCGAATGTGTTTAATCTTAATGAAATCCCTAGGCCTTGATCGAATGTGTTTAACGGTACCAAATGCTACATTATGCCTTGACTCTGCACTGTGAATCCTTTTGAACTTGAACAGGTGGAAGTGTTGATAATTGAAAAAAGTGAAACACGTCTTGGACGACATACCGCTCCCACTAAAGGTCCAGGTTCTATGATATTTGACAAGTATTCATTGTTAATTATCACAGCACCGATTTTTATCATGCTATGGGATGGAAAAAAATTACTGATATTTTGAGGTTAAAAAAAAATTACTGATCAATGTGCACAGTATTGTGAGATAAAAAAAATTATCGATACTTTACCAAAATTAGTGGGGTTTCAAATACATCCATGGTTGTTTCAAGAAAAAACACTACTTTTTTGTAGAGAAATGATGCAGGAACAGTTGAGTGCTCACTAAAATTTAACAGATCTTCACATGAATGTATCCCTGTTTAATAAAATTTGCGCCTAAACTTGTAGAGTGCCATGCACAGAGAACCACTGAATAAAGCCAAAGTCCGAATATGATGAATATATATGGGATGACAAATATTCTTCTTCTCCGGTTTGGTCTTCTTCGCTGCGTCTTTGCTTTACCCTTCTTCTCCGTCACATCTGCAGCGCGTCTTGATCGCCTCGCATGTTCTCGTCTTTGTTCAGTCTCATTTAGTGGCAAATGTGCCCTAACTGAAAACTTTTTTTTTTAATTTCATACAAATTCCATGGGTATCTGATTTGGCAGGCACATCAGCAATTATTAACACCGTCAATAACGTTTTTCTACACGTAGGAGGGATGAGTTATGAGTTGGACTGCCAAATGGTTGAGAAGGATTATGTTTTTAAAAAATAAAAAGACAAGAGACTGAGTTACAGGTGAGTCAAAAGTTTAGGGATTGAGTCACAACAAATCATAACTGAGAAATTAAGTTATAAATGAGTTAAAAGTTGAAGGACTAAAAGATTAATTTTCCCTAAAAAAAAATAATACTTTTTATATATAAAATGAATACCATCATTAATTTAGGAATATAAAAACTTTTTTAATTAAATCCCATTTTTCATATCCATTATATTGCATTCTTCATGCAAAATGAAGTAACTGAACATTAGAAATTTATATTGACTCTATCTTTTTTAAAATTTCTTCAAATTTCTTGTAACCTTAAGCTTAAAAAAAATCTACAAAATCAATTTTTATGAGAGGGGTCCAATAATAAAATATGCCTCTTAAAATAATTAATCTAACTTCAAAGTTTGTTCCATCACATGGGATAAATATCGTGACTACAGAATCAGTGAATTTGGGCTCGCCACAAAAGCAAAAAAGAGAGTCAATGAATTTAGACCACGTGGCCGGAATCTAAAATATCAACGATAGGACTAGAAGTAGCTAAGCTGAGCAAAGCAAGTGGTAACCGTGGGAACCAGCTCTAAATGTCTCCAAGCGTTTCCGTGTCCGCGTCCTCATCGTAGGCAAACCCCCAGTGGGCCCCACCTTGTCCATCCTAAAACCCAAACCATATATAACTATAACCCCTTGCTTCCCATCCAGCACAACACACCTGCTTTGTACTTACTCTCACATCTCACGTCTCATCCAAATACAATGGAATTTCTCAGAGAAGACAAATTCGACGTTTCTTCCTCTTCTTCTTCTTCCTCCTGTTCTTGGTTGGAGGTGAGCTCGTTGAGCAGGGAGCCGAAACTGTTACTGGCGTCGGAGCGACCCAAGAAGCGAGCGGGACGGAGGGTTTTCAAGGAGACGAGGCATCCCGTGTACAGAGGAGTGCGACGGAGGAACAAAGACAAGTGGGTTTGCGAGGTTCGTGTGCCGAACGGTAACACCAGGATTTGGCTCGGAACATATTCGACGGTGGAGATGGCCGCTCGTGCTCATGACGTGGCGGCTCTGGCTCTTCGTGGTAAATCGGCTTGCCTGAATTTCGCTGACTCAGCTTGGCGGTTGCCTCTACCGGAATCAACCAATGCGGCGGAGATCAGACGGGTGGCGGCTCTGGCTGCTGAGGAATTCGGCAGGAGTGGTGATGATTTTGAAGTTTGCAGTCTCAGTAGTACAACGGCCGAAGAGGAAGTCATCGGAGATGCGCCGAATGTACAGGATTATTGTGAAGAAGATGAAGCGACGTATATTTATCAAAATCCAGCTGTGTCAACGAAATTTGACGAGCTCCGTCATTTGATAGTGAGTATGGCGGAGGAGCCGCTCCGATCGCCACCCTCTGTTAGGCCATATGGGTGGAGTTGGGATGACGTGGAGGCAGACACTGAGGTCTCACTGTGGCAATATTGAGACCAATTGAGACGTTAGAGGAAATAGGTCAAGAGCTTCTTCTTAACCTTGGACTAAGGTCAAATGTTCGATTATTAATAAGAATGTACAAGAGCTGTTGTTTAGTTTATTATCTATTCGGTACGCTCATTACAGCAGCAATTCTCATAATCATAAGAATCACCTGTGTCCAAAAACCAAAATATTAAATTTATGTTATGTGTGTTAATATTTTTAGGTTAAATTGGGAAAAATGCTCTTATAAAAAATTTTATCGGAGAAGATGACCTAATAAATATTTACACAGAAAATATTAATACCAGGGTATTCATGGGACATCCTGGTCTCATTCTCGCGAGATGGTTTTTTTATCTTATGTCTTGTCTCGTCTTAATGGTGTTCCATCTCGTTCTTGATGGGACAGGAACATCCTGTTTTTTTTTTTTTAATTTTTTCAAACTAAATGTATTTAAAGTATAAAAACTCATAGTAAACATTATATTAAAAAAAATAGGTAAAATTGACTAAAAAATTGACAATGATAAAAAATTAATAAAAAAATGTTTCTTTTTGAAAGATAGAAAATATATAAATTTAAGATATTTCTTAAAAACCATCATATAATCTATATTAAAAAAAACTCTTAAATTGTAGACAATATAATCATAAAAGTTATAATATTATTATATTAATAATAAAGTAAAATAAATTTAAAAAATAAAAAAAGAGAATATATCAACACTAAATTGGAATAGGACATCCCGTCCCATCAATTTTTGTTCTGTCCCAAATTTTCGGGATGAAACTGTCTCATCCTAAAATGATTAGGACCAAGATGAGATATAAGTGAATACCCCTAATTAATACTTTACAAATTTTTTACGCACAAAGTATTCTATTTTAATGTAGATCATTCTAAAACAAAAAAAAATAATCCTTCTAATATTAAATATAAGACTTATTTTGTTGTGTAATTTACACAATAAAATGTGTTTTATATTTAGGATCAGAGGGGTAATAATAATGGAGGACTTTCTCCTAGTTTTTCTTATTTTTATAAAAGAATATTTTTATATTATAGAACTTTGATTTCATAACTTAAATTTGAAATTTATGAGATTTAATTTTTTATTATTTAAAAATTAAAAAATAAAAATAGTAAAAATAACAATAAAAGAGCATGAAAAATATGAAGTCCCTTAAAAAGGTGCTTGAATTAACATAATCTAAAAAAGTATAAAATTCTAAAATAGAATTTTGAAAGTCAAGTAAAAAGCCATAAATGCCCCTATTTATTAAATGGGTAAAAATGAACTGAAAACTTGTTATTATTAGTTGAAGTTTAAGAATTAAAATTTTTCTAAAAACATGATTCCCCCCCCCCCTCGTTTTTCTAAGTTTTTGATATGAGGGGATGGCATGGATCGACTAAAAACAAGTATCGAATGGATTGATACCCAAAAAGAACCAACCTCTTGTAATCTCAAACATACAAAACCGAACAGATGATCGAGGCAGGACCTTAAGAGAACTTGTCTCTTACAACCCTAGTCATGAAAACACCATAAAGTCGATCACTTCCCTTATACTGTTGAGTATTCTCACGAGAATATGAGGATGCAAGCAAGACTCACATAAGAGAAATAAAATTCTCATATTACTAATTATTCAAATCATCTCTATATGAAAAGAGTATATACTGAAATATTTATAAACTAAGAGCTTTGAAAAAAACCTAATATAAAAACAATAATTGATAACCTAAGCCCTAAAAGCCCTTTATAAGCTATTAGAGCTTAAAATACTAACTAAATAAAATGCATAAAACATAGATGTGAAAATACAATAAAAATAAGAAAACCAAAAGACCTTCTAGAATACCCTAACTTGCTAGTCGAAAAAGAATAATCTAGATCACTCACTGCCTAAGAGGATCCTATTACCAATAAGATGGATCTTATTTGACTATCTACTAACTAACAAAGGACAAAATAGGCAAGTCTTTGCATACAAGAAGCAATCAATACAAAATAAAAAACTAATTAAAACAAATAGAATAATGATTATGCCATATAAAACCACTCTTGATGTTTCTTGAATTTTCTTGATTAATGCCATATAAAACCACTCTTGATGTTTTTTGAATCTTCTTAGACCTTTTAAATAGAACTTCATAGATGTTATTCACGTCCATAAGTATGTATAGGCTTTCAAGACATCTATTTAGACTTGAATATGAATAAGCCACGTTTTGGAACTCCCATGGTCCAAAACATAATGCATATAGGGCCCAATTTGAAAGATTATAGTTCCAATAAACTCCTCCATGCATATATAATTGTGCTGGGCCTTCAATAACATGGGAATTGGATTCAAATACTTCTTTTAGGCTCTTAGAATGTGCTCTTGTCTTTCTCAAGATTCAAGCGTTCATATTGCAATGACTCACATGCCATGGTGGCTTTCAGGGTGACCTTCCATATGTCACATTAAGCTCTACATGTGTCTATATCATCATCCACGTAAGCATTCTTGATCTAGAGATCCATTAAACATTTTGGAAGGATTGTTGGGCCTCTAATTGGATGAGTGCTTCTTAAGCTTCAGGACCTCCATATTGAACACTTTTTGATATGCTATCGGTTTTTGTGTTAAAATCACGACCTATTAATTCCTATTTTAAAATGGGTAAAATGCATTCAAAAGTTGTTATCACTATCTAAAGTTTATAATTGAAATAAGGTCATTCTTTCATGTCAATGTTTTTTGTAATATCCCGAATTTTGGGCTTAAAAGTACTAGAATTAGCCTGAAATGGGCAAGCTACCAGATCCCTTTTGGCATGAGTTCTAGAAGTTCCTTGAAAGGATGAGAGAATTCCTGTGGACTAAATCATAAAGTAAAAATTTGTTGAAACCATAACATAAGCAAGTTAGAGACTCTGATAAAGTCTTGAAGGCTTGAGTATGGGAATTGGAGATGATTAGCTGCTAAAAGGTTGTGTTGGGAACCTTAGTAAGATGATTCCTGAGGCGAAACCCGATCAGGGACCTAATCATACATCTGAAAAGTTTTGAACAAAAAAGGGCGGTGATGGTAACTATACCAAAAAAATTTTATAAAAATTCTAAAAAATTCCAAAAAAACAGAAAATGAGGTTTTGAGGTTCGTATAAAGTTAAAAATGACAAAAATATCCCTGAAGCAATTTGATGAAATTTTCAAGGTTTTGACTAATAATAAATATTAGTGAAAATTAAATTATTTAAAATATAAGGGGGTCTCAGATAATTGGAGAAAAATAGGAAATATATACTTGAGAAATTATCATAGGTTTTGAAAATAATTTTATCCCCAGAAAGCGGAGAGGTTCGTTTTACCATAATTTAAAGCCTATTTATATGCTATCAGAGAAAAGTCAAAATAAACCGTCTGTGGGTTGACTTTTGACTTGAAAAAAAAATTAAAAAAATTCCCCATAATAAAAAGGTAGTATTGGTATACAGAGATAGGTTTTCAGAATCATGGACCATTAGAAAGAATTTGGTTAATTTTACTCTGAAATAAATATTGTTAAACATTTTAATGAAGGGACAAAGGGAAGAGCATCATTTCCTCTTTAGGCATATTATATAATTCCTTGTGAGATTAATTGTGATGAAAAAAGGATTCTAGAACATGTTCTATGGTTACCTGATAGGTCAGGACCTAAAAAAATACTCGATATGACATAAAATTGTAAAATAGGTGGAGGAATAGACAATGATATGGTTATGCATGAATTTTCCTTCATTTTCCTCCCTATTTTAATATAAATTTCATGAAAGGTCAAGGATGGAATAATACAAATTGTCAAGAGGCAAGCTTGGAAGAATAAAATTATATAATAAAATATTATGTTTTTACACATGTGGAATAGGTAGGGGTGAGTAACGGGTAGATTGAGCAGCCCAGGGGTCAACCCGTAACCCGCCCATTTAACTTTAAACAGGTATGGGCTAACCCGTATCTGTTGAAGACCCATTTAAACCCAGATTAAACGGGTTATGCTAACACGGGCGGGTTGCAACGGGTTACGAGTAACCCGTTTTCACATCCAACCATGGAAAACATAGAGGAAATTGTAGATGCCAAATTAGAATCAAACGTTAGAAAAAGCAGCAACAAGATGTCGCGAATTAAAATCTAGTGCTGAAGGCCGCAACAAGTGGTTAATAATTTAGACTATAATAATAATAATCAAAAGATCTAGATTCAACAACAACTTGGCAAGAAAGAGAAAAGATTCAACAAGAGTAGCCTGAGAATTTTTTTTACAAATGATAGATTGAAGAAGATGAAGGAGGATGAAGAAGGACACAAAAATCTCATAGCAAAAATCACAAAAATCTTAGAGCCATCAACAATATCTATTACAAACAGAGCTGCATAGATCCGAATTGAGTGGATTGAGTTTGAGACTTGCAAGGCAAAGGCACGGCGGATAATAGTGAGCCATGAGAGCGACTGATTTGTTGCCCTCGCTTGTCGCTCGTCGCTCGTCGCCCGTCGCTCGTCGCGTGGCAAAGATAGGAGGTTGAGCTGAGGGGGCTTAGCAACGATGAAAGAGGAGGTTGTAATGGCAATGGGGGAGAGGAGGAAAAGAAGATAAAAAAGGGAGGAGGAGGAAGGCAACGGCAAAATGGCGATGCGTGGAAATGCCCAGAGGAACAAGAACAGCGATGGTTTGGAGGACCTAAGAAGACGAGGGTTCCATCTTGTTTTCGAGTTTTAAAATTTATTATAAAAATTAGAAAAAAAAAAGTAATTAAAAGCTACGGGCATCAGATCAGATTCGAACCTGGGAATAAGCACTACGTTTGTGGGCAACACATCTTAACCACTGAACTAGGAGCCACATGGGACAATTTGTTGCAGAAAACAATATATTATAAATAAAATACATACACATAACAAACAAAAAATAAATGGGCGGGCACGGGCAGCCTGGGGGTATGCCCGTAGCCTGCCTATTTATTTAACTAACCCGCCCATTTTACATGTTTTTTGGGTGGGTTTAAACGGGTAAAATTTCCACGGGTTGCTTACTCAGCTCTAAAAATAGGTGACATGTGAGGTGT